CTTTTGAAAAAATGGACCTTAGTGGGCTGGAGAGATGCCTCAGAGGTTAAGACCATTGCCTGCTCTTCCAGAGGTCCTGAGTTCAATTCCCAGCAACCACATGGTGGCTCACAACCATCTGTAATGAAGTCTGGTGCCCTCTTCTGGCCTGCAGGCATACAAGCAGACAGGATAGTATATACATAATAAATAAATAGATAAATAAATTTTAAAAAACGGTTAGCCGGGTGGTGGTGGTGGTACACACCTTTAATCTCAGCACTTGGGAGGGAGAGGCAGGCATATCTCCGTGAGTTTGAGGCCATGCTAGTGCCAGGATAGGCTCCAAAGCTACACAGAGAAACCCTGTCTCAAAAAAAAAAATAAATAAATAAAAATAAATAAATAAATAAAAATAAAGAAGGGAAAAAATGGGCCTTTATGCTAATTTTATATTTATTTATTTATTTGAGGAAAGAGGCATGTCTGTGGAGTAAAGAATACAAGATGCGGGTGTCCTGAAATACATACTAAGTAAGTCTCAAATGCATAAACAATTTAAACAGTGAGATTAGCTCACAATGAGAAAAACTAGAGAAATGTTCTTATGCTTGTATTCCTTTATAAATATAAGTGTTTGTCTGCATGTATGTCTGTGTACCGTGTGGGTGTCTCATCCCCAGAAGACAGCATTGAATCCCCTATGAGCCATTGTGTGGATGTTTATCTGAGTCCTCTACAAGATCATCTAGCCTGCTTAACTCCTGAACCGTCCCGCCAGGTCCTGAAAAGGAGTTCTTAAATCTCATGGTTCATTCGTTTTTTTGTTGTTTTTTTTTTCATATGGACTATTTTTTTTTGATGTCTTTTAAAATTTTTGCCCAATTCAAGATTTGAAAGACTAGATTTTACATTTAGGTCTATGACTCATTTGAGATTTTTTTTTGACATGTTGTATAAAACATGAAAGTTGAGAAAAGTGATGGAGGATCATTTTTCTTCACAATGTTTTGAAATTCAATTAACTATTCACCTGTGAGAACACCTGAAATATTCCATTAATATATAGATAGGTCTATGTCTTCCCCAACACTATATTGTCTTGATTACTGTAGTAAATAAATCTGGAAATAAAATATATATGAATAATTTTTTTAAAAAATTGTTTTGCTATTTTAGGCTTTTTTTTTTCTTTGCCGAGTTGGAGGTGGTTCATAATTTTTTTTTCATGGAGGCTAGAGAAAGGGTTTAGAAGTTGAGCACGCTGGTTGCTTTTGTAGGGGACCATGTTCAGTTCTCAACACCCAGGTGGGATGGCTTGAAGCTGCCTGTAATTCCAGATCCACGGCATCTGATGCCTTCTGGTTCCCACAGGTACTGCTTTTACATGCGCAAACCCATATTCAGATATGCATATATAGTCGTCATTTTTTAAAACAGAGGTTTCAGTAGATTTAGACATAGGCACCAAAGAGAGAAGCACTCAGAAAAGTATCCAACTGTGTAAGTTTCTTTACATATTTTTATACACAGCTTTAAAAAATTTATATTAGCATTATTTTGAGTTTTTTTTTTCCCACAACGCTGAGGAACAAACCTACGATTGTCTTCATGCAAATATTTTTTTATTTGTTTTGAGACAGGGTCTCACTATGTAACTCTAGCTTTCCTGGAACTCACTATATTGACCAGAATGGCCTCGAACTCACGGAGATCTACCTGCCTGTGCTTCTTAGGTTCTGGAATTAAAGGCGTGTGCCACCATACCTGGTGATACTTTGCTTTCTTATCTAAATTGAATTGTTGTACACTACTTTACTTGGTAATGGAATTATCTCAAATAATGAAGAACTGAGTGGTTAGTAAGCTGGAGTGTCGTATTCAGTCTTGTGTATGTAAGAAAGAGAAAGCTCACTCTCGTTCTATTCCCACTTTTCTTTCTACAAAAAGTCAAGTCCTCACACAGAACACTTACTAAAATGGTAGGACAAGCTCCAATAGACTAGAATTGATCTGTGAATATGTCCTCTGATCAAAATAACGTAATTTTTTTAACAACTGAAAATCGTGGTTTGGTAGTTAAGTGGGTAGTAAAAAACAAAACATTTAAAAATACTTTAAACTTTTTAAAGGAAGCATCTAAAAGGGGGCTGGAAAGATGGCTCAGTGGCAGAGTGCACAGTGCTCTTGCAGCAGCCCTCCGTGCGGAGGACATGCGTTGTGGTCCCAGCACACATAACGGGGTATGATCACAAGCCACTTTTAACTCCAGTTCAAGGTGGATGCCATTGATGTCTCTGACTTCCACAGTACCTGCACCAGTGTACATCCCCACACAGGCAAACATAATTTAAAAAGATAAGTCTTTTTTGTTGTTGTTGTTGTTGTTGTTCGTTTTTGTTGTTTTGAGATGGTTTCTCTGTGTAGTCCTGGTTGTCCTGGGACTGGCTCCGTAGATCTGGCTAGCTTCTGGTGGGAATATAGGCATGCTCCACCATGCCTGGCTAAAAATAAATCATTAATGAGAAGTATCTAAAAGAAATATGGCTGGCAATATAACTAAAGTGATAGAGCACTTTAAAAAATTAACAAATGCTGAGAAATATGAGGGGAAGTCGTGTGCATTCGTTCAAGAGGCCATGTCTCAGCTCCAGTTGTGACACACTTTAATACCAGCATTTAGGAGACAGGCAGGTGGATCTTTGAATTTGAGGCAGCCTGCTCTACAGAGCAAATTCTGGGACAGCCAGGGTACACAGAGGCATGGTGGCTCACACTTGTAATACTGGTGAGTAGGGGGCCGAGGGAGAGCTGTCAAGGCTGGAGATCAGCCTGGACTTCATAGTGAGTTCCAAACCAGAATGGGTTACAAAGTGAGACCTTGTCTCACAAAGGCCAGCAAATGAAATAGATCAATAGATAGATGTTATTGGGTCAGTTGGCTATGAAGTTGAGAAAAATCAAAGACAGTTTACAACTTAATTTCAGGAGAATTGAGAGAGCATCTAATGAAAAACTAAGCCTAAGAGAGAATTAGGGTTTTACAATAAATTCATAATCTTTAAAAAGTTATTATTAGTGGGACAGTGGTGGCGCACACCTTTAATCTCAGCACTTGGGAGGCAGATGTAGGTGGATCTCTCTGAGTTCGAGGCCAGCCTGGTCTACAGAGGGACTTCCAGGACAGACTCCAAAATTATAGAGAAACCCTGTCTTGAAAAACAAACAAATAAACAAAAAGTTATTACTAATGGGGCAGGAGATGATGAAGCAGTTTAGAGCATGTACCACTCTTAGGAGCTGAATTTGATTTCAGCACCCCAGTGGGGTGGCTCATAGCTTCCAGGAAGTCTAGTGGTAGCACGATCTGATACCTCTGACCTCTAAAAGTACCTCCACTCCAACACACACACACTTGTATAATTTGAAAAAAATCTTAAATTGTGTGTGTGTGTGTGTGTGTGTGTGTGTGTGATCATAGGGGGAGGGCACATGCTATGGGGCATATGTGGAGGTCACAGGACAACTTTGTGGAGTTAGCTTTCCGTTTACCCTGAGTTCTGGGGGAAAGAACTCAGTACCAAGTTTGTACAGCAAGCACCTTTATCAGCTGAGCCATCTCTCTGGTTAGTCTTAGCTTTAATAACTTGGTGTGTGGAGGGGCGGTGGTGGCGCACGCCTTTAATCCCAGCACTTGTGAGGCAGAGGCGGGCGGATCTCTGTGAGTTGGAGGCCAGCCTGGTCTACAAGAGCTAGTTCCAGGATAGGCTCCACAGCAGAGTAACCCTGTCTTGGGGGAAAAAAAATGGTGTGTGGATATTCCCAGACCATTTAAAAAAAAAAAAAAGACAAGTACTTGAAAAATCTCAACTCCTGCAGACTGAAACAAAAGACAAGTACCTATTGAGAGAAATTTTCCTATACAAAAATAGGATCAAGGAAACTTGGCAAAGATACAATGTTGGAGTATTTAGGAACATTAAGTAACAGAGTCGGGAGCATATAAGATGTAGGTCATTTCCAGAGATAGGTGTCAGGGTTTTTTGTTTTTGTTTTTTTTAGAGACAAGGTTTCTCTGTAGTTTTGGTGCCTGTCTTGGAATTAGCTCTTGTAAACCAGGCTGGCCTCCTCGAACTCACAGAGATCTACCTGCCTCTGCCTCCCGGGTGCTGGGGTTAGAGGCAAGCACCTTCACAGACCGGCCAGCGTCAGGGTTTGGGTAAATCTTTTTGTTTGTTTGTTTTGTTTGCTTTTTAATTTGTCTTTGTTTTGTTTGTTTGTTTGTTTGTTTTTGTTTTTCGAGACAGGGTTTCTCTGTGGTTTTGGAGCCTGTCCTGGAACTAGCTCTTGTAGACCAGGCTGGTCTCGAACTCACAGAGATCCACCTGCCTCTGCCTCCCGAGTGCTGGGATTAAAGGCGTGCGCCACCACTGAGAAGGTAAGGGCTTGGTGTATAGCCTAGGCTGCCGGGAACTCGCTATCCTCCTGCCTCAGCCTGCTGGAGGGTTGGAATGACAGGTGTGCACCACGCCCAGCTATTATTGATTCTTCGTCACTAGGATCGTATGTTATCTTTGCAATTAAAATTTCAGAAATTCCAGCAAGGTGATTCGCTCCAAGGTACTTCACGTGGTGTCCTGTGGGAGGCAGGGATAGATGTTTCACCAAGGGGAGGAACTAGGGTTTTCTGCTTCTTTAAAGCCAGGCTTGAGTTCTTACGTATACGCTGCAGGCGTGGGAGGGGCTCCATTCATGCCCCGCGCTTCCGGGGTGCACTTCCCTCCCTCTGCTCGACAAGACGCCAACTGCTTAGCTCAGCCCTCCTGGCTTACTTAGTGCGACTGTCAGGAATTCGTTCCCGGCGCAGGTGTCAGCGCTACTCCCACACCCGCAGGTCCGGACCAGCCCTCGAATGCCCCGCCCCAGCCCGAACCGGACACGCCCCCTCCCGCCCAGACTCCGCCCCCTGTGTTGTCATCACGTGGTCCGGGAGGGTCCTGATGTCACGCGGGGAGGGACTGCGCAGGCGCAGAAAAGGGGGCGGGGGGACTCGACTTGTTGTGTTGCTGCTGCCCGAGAGCCGGATACTGTCGTGCTGCGGCCGCGGCGCTCCCAGTCTCCTGACCATGTCTCACTTAGTTGAGCCGCCGCCACCCCTGCACAACAACAACAACAACTGCGAGGAAGGGGAGCAGCCCCTGCCGCCGCCCGCCGGCCTCAACAGTGAGCGCGGGGCCGCCGGGCTCGGCGGAGGGATGGGGGAGGAGGAGCCGTTCGGTCGCCGCCGCCGCCGTGCGGGACGGGAGGGGGCGGGAGCAGACGGCAGCGCCATTGGTCGAGGCCGAGGCTGCGCGTGTGACTGACAGCGGCGTGCTCCGCTCAGGAGCAGGCGCTCGGCGCTGGCTCGCGGCCTGCGCTCTGGGCGCTGAGGCTTAGGGTCGCGGCGGGCGTCGGAAGCGGGCGGGCGGCGCGCGCAGCTGAGGGCGGCGGGCTGGAGCTGGCGGGCGGAGCGGGTCTGGGGACGTGCGGCGGGGACGCCAGGAGATGGACGCGGCCGGCCGGGCGTGGCGGGTGGACGTGCGACAGCGCAGGTGTGCGGGGCTCGCCTGCTTCCCCACGCCAGTCCAGGGGTCACTGAAGTTTTGTGTAGGGTGCTTGTTCCGCCCCCCCCCTTTTTTTCCTGAAAATTTCCAAAGTTTCTTAAGTTAATTTTTTTATTGTTGTGGTTAACCATGAATTTTTAGTTTATTTTACTACTTTTCTGTTTTGAGACAGTCTCATGTAGCCCAGGCTGGCCTCGAACTCGCTGTGTGGCTGGTGATGCTCTGAACTCCTGATCCTCCTGCCTTCCACCTCCCAAGTTCTGGCACGACAGCCACCATATCAGGGACTTTTCGAGTGCTGCTTTTGTGTTAAATGGATTGAGTGCCCAGCACATCCCCTCAGATCACACCATCAGGTGTCGGCAGTGGACTTCAGGAAATACAGTAAACAACACAACAGACGCAGGGCAGAGGCACTGGCAGTTGAAGGCTGCCGGTCAGGATGGAGTTGCAGTCAAGTGTAGTGCCCTTTAACAGACATCTTGTCCCCAGAGTGTCCCCTGTTGGGAGATCGACTGTCCTTCTTGCCCAACCTTTCTGTATGTGCTTCGTGTCTTATGAAAGAGGTAGTGGGGGGGTTGGCATATGGCGAGACGAAGTTTAAAAGCCATTTGGAAACTTAAAGGTCAGGCAGTGTCTTTCATAAGAGGGGTGCTTCAGGCGTAGCCAGAACAGTTTGGTAAGAGCTGTTGCTCAGCCTCCAGGATGGGAAGAACATTTATCTTCGCCCATTGTAGTGGCACGTATCTGTCATTCCAGCACTGTCATGGGCCCCAGAGTAAGACTGTCTCAGGAAGCAACAAAACCAAAAAAAAAAAAAAAAGTAAATAAAAAGAAATAAGATATTTTAAGGTGTTCTGCCCTGTCCCATCTTTTTGATAGGCCTCGTCTCTAAATGCTGACTTTAAAAAAGAGTTAGTCAATGTGTAATCAAATGTTACTCATATCACATAATACAGGATTTAGATTTTTTTTTACCCATCTTTAGCGTACATTTTTAGAAATGGTTAGGCTAAAGAGATCCCTGGTCTGTGTTACTTGTAGAAGCGGTGGCTCTTGTTTTGAGTCCCCATGAAGCTTTCAGGATCCTTCTCTTGTGTTGGGCATGCTCATTTCTGCTTCTTTTTTAGTGGTTCTTACAGAAGCAGGTGAAGCCCCAGCCTCCATGTGATACCAGATGTTCTTTGAGAAGTCTGCTAGACAGAAAATATTATACCGGGGCCAGGCTGCACTTCTCAGAGTCATCAGAGGTCTGCTGAGCGATGCCAGGTTTAACTATTGGCCTTGCCTCTTCTTTTGTCTGCCTTCTAAAGCTCATCACATAGCCCTGAGTTGAACAAAACAAGCTTTATTGATTTCGCTGAGTGATTTTTTTTTTTAAGGCGCTAAGTGAAACAACTTATTCAGGCATCTAATACTATCTGAATTCCTGATAAGTCCAAGTATTTTGCTGGCTGCAGTTCCACAATTGTCGAAAACAGGAGCTGAAATGAATGCAGATTATTTCTGGCTTGAGATTTTTGTCTTTAGTTTAAGGGTCATGGCAGAGGGATTTTTGTATGGATGTGCCTGCATGTATGCATGTACTCCGTGTTCTTGCCTGGTGCCCACCGGGGCCAGGAGAGGGCATCAGATTCTTGGTACTGGAGTTGCAGATGGTTGTAGTCAGCTCTATGTCATGCTGGAAATCAAACCCAGGTCCTCTGGAAGAGCAGACTCTTCTCTTAACTAACTGTTGAGTCATCTCTCCAGCCCCACAGCAGAGGGTTTTTTTTGTTTTGTTTTTCGAGGCAGGGTTTCTCTCTAGCTTTTGGAGCTTGTCCTGGAACTAGCTCTTGTAGACCAGGTTGGCCTCGAATTCAGAGATCCATCTATCTCTGCCTCCCGAGTGCTGGGATTAAAGGCGTGCGCTAACCACCACCTGGCCCCACAGCAGAGTTTTAATAGCAAATATTGAAATTTCTTAAAGATTATTTTAAATTACCTATGTATCAAGTACAGATACCCATAGAGGCCAGAAGAGGGCGTTGGATCCTTGGGAGCTAGAATACAAACTGAGGGTTTGGGACTCAAACTCTGGTTCTCTAGGCTGGGTGGTGGTGTCACATGCCTTTAATCCTAGCACTCTGGAGGCAGAGGCAGGAGGATCTCTGTGAGTTCGAGGCCAGCCTGGTCTACAGAGCTAGTTCTAGGACAGCTAGGGCTGTTAACACAGAGAAACCCTGTCTCGAAAAAAAACTTCTGGTCCTCTGTAAGAGCAGTGTATGCTCCTATCAGCTGAGCTATCTTTCCAGCCCAAATTGTTGATGCATATGGAACAGCGAAACTTTTCTCCGATTCTGTTGTTTACTGCTGTGGCGGGACTGTTCAGTTTTATTACAAATTGGAAGACAAAACCCAAACTTCTCCCAAAGTTAAAAGAATGTTTCCAGTCACTTTTCTGATTAAGAAAACTGTCAAGTTTCTCAGGGGATGAGTGAGACACACTACAGAAATGTCATAAGGAACATCAGAGTATTGTAATTCTTGTGTAATTGGAGTTACTGCCTTTCCTTTTGACAACTCTTCACAGACAGTGCCCTTGCTGTTCCCCTGGTAAGAAGTTTGGGCTGTGGTACTGCCTTTCCAGTCTGTAGTGTGTTGTGCCTACAGCGCAGAAGAATGCTGGGGACTGTTACAGGGTTACCTGGGGTCCTAGCATTAAGTACCTGAAACAAGCAGGCAGAAGAAAGGCTTGGAGGACCCCTAACTGTTCCAGTGACATCAGAAGCCTTGAAAAGTTGGAAGAAAATAACTGTTTCCTGTGATATGTAAGGATTTAATTGTTGGTGGACACTTAGGGTCTGCAAGCCGATCAGTTACTGGTCAGGAACTTGTGTGCCCACTTCTGCCATTCTAGAAGATTTCAACTAGAAAATAAGTCAGCATGGCTTTGTGCACTTCCAACATGTAAACAGTTCTTTGACAATGATAGCTTTGGCTCTTTCTTAAAAGCTTGCATGCCAAGAAGAGTACTGACTGGAGGTGGTTTCCTTTGTGTGTTTCTTGGATGACATGAAATCTTTACAGTGTTTCTTTTCCAAGTAAGAGGGGACTTTGTGAGGATTTGGGCCGAGTTAGCACATTAAGAGGACCTGATTGTAAATGAGCAATTTAGGTGGAGAGAATGTGTGTTGTTTGTCTGTTAAGACATAATCCTAGCACTGGGAAGGCTGAAGCAAGATCGTGGCCTAAGGTAACCTAGAGTGAGGTTCCAGGGCAGCCTAGGCTTGTAGTGAAAGACAGTAATAAAAGAAACGAGCCCCTCCACCTGTTTCCTTTTTTTGTCTCATATTCAGAAGATAAAGTTAATGTTTTAAAAGTTTCTATTTCTAGCTGGGCATGGTGGTGTATTCCTTTAATCCTAGCACTCAGGAGGAAGAGGCAGGAGGATCTCTGTGAGTTTGAGGCCAGCCTTGTCTACAAGAGCTAGTTCCAGGACAGGCTCCAAAGCTACAGAGAAACCCTGTCTCGAAAAACCAAAACAAACAAACAAACAAACAAAGTTTTTATTTCTGTTATCAACACCAGATTATTTAGTTTTGCTTTAAGACTTGGTCTTCTTGTGCAGCCAAGGATGACCTTGAGTTTGTAGCAACCCTTCTGCCTTGGATCCTGCAGCCAAGATTACAGGATTCCTTATAAGGAATGTGTACCTAACTTTCCCTGTGACTATGCATGCTTCCATAGAGAGTATTTCTGGGGTCAGGGAGATGGCTCCATCATTGAAATGCTTGCAAGCATGAGGATTTGAGTTCCCGAGAGCCTATACCAGGCATGATGCTCCACACTTGAGATCTTGGCTTTGGGGAGGCAGAGATGGGTAGATCCCAGCAAGAAGGCCTGCTGGCTAGCCAGCATTATCTAATTATCAACTTTTAAGTCAGTGAGAAATCCGGTCCCAGAAAACAAGGAGGAACTGCCTGAGGGTGACCTTTGACCTCCATACATACACGCAATCATACAGATACACATGCACACATACTTAAATTGTCTCTAAAAGACTGCTGCTGAGTTAAGAATAACTTTTAAAGACTTTTGTTACATATAGCCAGATAACCTTTCAGAATGTTTCCTCAAGCCCTCAGCATAATAAAATATTTGGAATATAGTCTTCTGGCTAACTACTAAGCATTGTCATTAGATAATGGTTAAAAATGTGCTGTCTTTATGGAAAGTGAGATTCTAAGTAGCTGGAGAGTGAATTCTCAATGGTTAAGAGCATTGACTGCTCTTAAGAGGCTCAGGTTTGATTCCTAGCACCCATATGGGGTTCGTGACTGTTAACTCCAGTTCACAGGGGCTCTGACACCCTTCACAGGCACCAGGCATCCATGTGGTGCAGACATCATGCAGACCAAACACCCATACACATGAAATTGTAAAAGAAAATTTTAAAATGAGATTCAGAATATTCAAAGGAATGCGCACATACTAACATTTGAAAGGCACATCAGAATTTTAAGTGCAAATCGATATTTGGTCGGTCAGTGGTTCTCAACTTTTCTAAAATGGTGACCTTTTAACACAGTTTCTCGTGTTGTGGTGAACCCCAACCATAAAATCCTTTCTTGCTACTTCATTACTGTAATGTTGCTACTGTTATGAATCATAGTGTAAATATCTGGTATGCAGGCTGCCTGATATACGGCCCCAATGGGGTCATGACCCACAGGTTGAGAACCATGACACAGAGGACCATATATACAGTACAATTCCAGTTGTTTATTTGAATTTTTTTCAGCTGGGCAGTAATGGCACAATTATTTTATCCCAGCACTCAGGAGGCAGAGGCAAGTGAATCTCTGTGAGTTTCAGGCCATCTTGCTCTACAAAGTGAATTCCAGGACAGCCAGGACAGTTGCACAGAGAAACCTTGTCTTCGAAAAACAAAACAATTTTTTCTTTTGAGACCAGCCTTGTCTACAGAGTGAGTTGTAGGACAACCCGGGATACATAGAGAAATCCTGTCTCAGAAAACTATAAATAAATAAATAAATAAATTTTCTTTAATTTTTTTAATTTTTATTTTATGTACGTTGGTGTTCTGCCTGTATATATGTCTGTCTGTATGTATGTATGTCTGTAATACCGGGAACTGGTATTATAGAAAGTTATAAGCTGTCATGTGGGTGCTGGGAACCCAGATCCTCTGGAAGAGCAGCCAATGTTCTTGACTGCTGAGCCATCTCTCCAGCCCCCAAAAAATATTTCATAAGAAAAACAATAAACTTGCAGAAATTTCCGTGTACAACTATTCAAAGTGATTTCCTCTGGACATAGGAATGGGAACCAGGTGTAGTGGTGTGCAGTCCTATACTCCCAGCAGACACAATGTGGGATGCTGAAATATCCCTGGGCTACATGAGACATTCCCAGAAAATCAAAATCAAAGCTTTGCTTATATACACAGAGTTAGAGTACCTGTTTAATAGGCCTGCTGCACCTGTGTTCAAGTCCACGGCACCAGAAAAACAACAAAACAAGGCACTAGAAATAGGAAGGAGAGAATAATTATTAGGATTTTGCTTTTAAGATTAAAAAAAGAGTTATGTGTGAGTGTTTTGTTTGCATGTGCCTGGTGCCCAAGGGTTCCAGAAAGAAGGTATGGGATCCTCTGGAACTGGAGTTACAGATGGCTGTGAGCCTCCATGTGGGTGCTGGTAACTGAACCTGGATCCTCTCCAAGAGCAGCCCGTGCTTTGAACTGCTGAGCCACCCCTCCTGCCCTGAGTCTTAGTTTTATGTGCTGACATTTCTGTGTTCAAGGAACATACTTTCGTAATCCAGTGATTTTGAAGAATACTTACCATAGTGACTGATCTGTATGTGGCAATTAATTCTCTGTAGTTTTCTGTGTGCGTTATTTGTACCATCTTAATTATTTTTTATATTTTCTTATTTTAATTTTTTTTTTTTCGAGACAGGGTTTCTCTGTAGCTTTGTAGCCTGTCCTGGAACTAGCTCTTGTAGACCAGGCTGGCCTCGAATTTACAGAGATCCGCCTGCCTCTGCCTCCAGAACGCTGGGATTAAAGGTGTGCACCACCACCACCCAGCTGTAATTTTTTAAAATAGATATAGCTGTTATCCCTGTTTACAGATAAGGCAACTAAGACACAGAGGCTAAGGCACCTGACTGGGTATAAGCTGTAAGCATTAGTATGGGGTGTAACTTCAGCTGCGCTGTTAACTGTGGCGCTGGTATATGCCACTCCAATACATTCTACTTTATGGTGGGAATGGGGGCATTGTATTCCCCACTGTTGCAGGCACAGCAGGAGTCACTTTTAAGCCTTTCTAGGTGTGTCTTCTCAAGTTCCTAATGTTAGGGTAGCAACTGTTTACGTTTAATGCAGAAAATAGAGTTGGTGTGGGCTTGGAATTCCTTCAGTGAAGTGAGGAGCACAAACCCAGGTTCTGTGGGCACCATTCTTTGATTAGATTCTCTAAGCACATGTTGGTTGTCCTGTCTGGAACCCTTGGTCCTTAGTGCTCCTGCCAGAGCAGCCCTGGGCTTTGGTTTTGTTTATTTTGTGCATTGGGCTGTCTGTCTACAAGAACCAAGCCCATTGGTTTTAATAGACATTTGAAAACCCTAGAAGCAGTGGGAATAGGGAAAGATTGTTTATTCTCTCTGTCCCTCCATCTAGAATATTTTACAGATCTCTAAATTTAGATGTGCTCTGGCACATTTGTACCCACTCCAGGAGCACTCTGAATATTTAATTAAACTAGATCTCTCTAGTGATTCTGGTTTTATTTGCTCTTCTTCCTGTGTTCTCAGCCATGCCCATCTTCACGTAGGTGTAGAATGAGGCCAGGTGCTGTTGTGTGCCTTTGTTGTTTGGAATTAATTGGTGATTTCAGGACTGCTGGGGGGTGGGCTGCCTTTAATGGAGAGGACAGGGCAACTCTTTAGCAACAGATACTAACTCCATAACATATAAGTGAGTGTCTGCTGTTTGCTGGTTGTTGATGTTGCTGGGTAGTTCTGACAGCTCTGGGGAGTAGATCCCCTCTTGTTACCAGCTCTGTTGACTGATGAGATGGAGGACGAGAAGGGTTAAAGTGCCGGGAGTCCCATTCCTAGCTAGGCATGTGAACTTGTCCCTCAGGTGAGCTCACCCTCCTGCTGGATCTGGTGTCACTGCCTCGTTTAGAGTGCATTAGGGTTTGAGGTGTTGTTTGGCCATTCTGACGAATCTGCTAAGGATTTAGAGATTTGGCCATGCTCACCTGCTTGGTTACATTTTGGAGGTGTAAGGTTTTGGTTTGGGAGGGATTTTGTATGTTTTTTCATAGCCCAAGTCAGACTCAGACTGGCTCTTGATCATCAGTCATCCTGCCTCCACTCCCAAGTGCAGGTCTGAGCACTGCCTGGCTGTTGGTCACACTTCCTAAAGTGAAGTGCTGTGCAGAAGGGATGTAGAGGATGTCTTTTCTGAGAAGTTGATTAATTGGCCAGTGTTACTGATGCTTATTGAGCTTATTGGACCAATAAGAATCTTCAAGAACATGCGTCTTAGAAAGGCCCGCCCCCTTTTCCTATGGTCCCACCCCCTTCAACTATTTATCCCAAACTTCTCTGTAGCCCATCTGCAGTGGCTTCTCCCTCCTCCACACACTCAGGACTTAATGAAAACCCTAGGAAGTAGAGGTCCTGGGAGAGAAAAGGGAAGGAACAACCTGATAAGGTATGTTCAGCGTGGAAGAGAAAACTTAAAAGTGTAGTGGGGGAAGGGGAGACACATTGGTGGTCTCCCTCCACCCCAATTTTTAATTTTATTTGGTTTCTTCAAGGACCAGCTGTATTAATGCATGCTCTGGGTTTGGGAACAAATTGAGAACTTTTTGATTAAATTTTGGTTTTACTTTAGGAACTTTTCAGTTTGTGTTAGTTAGGAGACAGCTGTCATCCTGTTAAGATGGGCTGTACGACATTGCTAAGTCATCTGGTGATTTAATTAGGTGCAAATCCTGTGGCACCCATGGCAAGTCGTGTGTGTGTAACTGAGGTGTTAAAGGTGATGCCTGTCTAGTAAAGGAAGAGGCATATCGTTTTTGAAGAAGAGCCCGAGTTTTCACCAAAGTGTTGATTGGACACAAATTAAGCTTTAACCAGAAAAAAAAAAATTGGCAGGAAAGCCCGTCTTCTATAATTTTAGATTTCTACCTTCTGGGCAGGTTTAATGCATGAGTTCCTTTGGGAGCAGAACAACATGGATTCTGACTTTCTGTGTGTTTATTTTCTTCAGAATACTTTGGCTTCAGTTTGAGTCGAGTCAGAATTCTTATCTGAACTCAGCATATGGACATCTGTGTGCACAGGAGGGATTTCAGCCCCACTGTGGTTATGACTTGTTATCTGACCTGTCCAACAGGTTCCTGGGTGGAGCTACCTATGAACAGCAGCAATGGCAATGATAATGGCAACGGGAAGAATGGGGGGCTGGAGCACGTCCCTTCCTCTTCCTCAATCCACAATGGAGACATGGAGAAGATCCTTCTGGACGCACAGCATGAGTCGGGACAGAGCAGCTCAAGAGGCAGCTCTCACTGTGACAGGTATGTGAAGGCTGATGGTGTAACTCAGGAGTTAAGTGGGTAGGAAGGTAATTTTCATGAGGAGAAGGCTCATTTGCTTAAGTAGTCATTAAGAGAATAGGCCTCCAGATTTATTGTACCATGCATGTTTAAACTATAGCTAGGCCAGAGACTTGTGAGTTCAAGACCAACATGGTCTACATCTCGAGTTACAGGCCAGTCAGGACCTTATGGTGAGATCATGTCTCAAGAAAAATTAAAAACCCAATAGCTAATGGATAGGCACCTGAGTGCTCACTGTCACCCTTCCCCCATTGTCATTTTTATTCTCAGACTGAATTGTTTTCAGATGTTGATCAGTTTCAAATTGAGTAGCAGGCCAACAGATGGCTAAGCTGATAAAGGCACTTGCTGCTAAGTTCTGTAGACCTGCATTTCATCCTGGGTCTCACTTGGAGCAAGGAGAGAACTGACTTCCTCAAATTGTCTCCTGGCCTCCACATGCACATCCACACACACAAACTAAATGCAATTTCAAAATCAAAATGAAATTTAGCATCATTAATGTAAACTTACAGAGTTAATCTGAGTTTCCCATTTTCCTTTGTTTTTGAGGTCGTGAGTCACAGTAACATTCTCTCTCCCTCTCTAGGCAGCCAGAGGTAGAGCCATGTGGCCTTTTTGCACCCTTCACAGTAACAGGCTGGCACACATGGGGCACTCAGTAAATGCTCTGCTCACAGGACCTGCAAGTTGATGGAGGTTCCAGCCATGTCTGTGTGGCTCTCAATAAGCAGTGTGCTGAGTGAGGTCCATGCATTCCCTCTGAGAAAATGTTACTTACATCTCACTGCATGGCTCTTTGCCTCTGGAAAACTGAGGAGTAAATATACAGAAAGATGTAGAAAGGAAAGGATAACAAGTGGTTCATTAACTTTCATCCGAGCCTTTTTTTCCCTGTAACTTCCTGAGAGACTAGGTATTAAATAACATTAACAATTATAAGGCTGGGGGCTGGAGAGATGGCTCAGAGGTTAAGAGCACTGACTGCTCTTCCAGAGGTCCTGAGTTCAATTCCCAGCAACCACATGCTGGCTCACAACCATCTGTAATGAGGTCTGGTGCCCTCTTCTGGCTTGCAGGCATACACACAGACAGAATGTTGTATACATAATAAATAAACAAATATTTAAAAAAAAACAATTGTAATGCTGAATATAGGTAAGACATGCCTATGGTCTCGTCACTCAAGAGGCTGAGCAGGAGGATTGCCATAGGTTGAAGGTCTACCTGGGCTACATAACAATACATAATGATAACCCATCTCCAAAAGTAGTGAGAAGTTCCCTGCAGGGTGATAGCCTCATAGGATGCTCGATGCCACAATGGTCTGGCTCATTTGTAGCTGGCTGATGATTCACCATGGTGAAGTTGCGCGTGCATGGGAAGATTGAGGGGCATTTAAAAATGGGAGAAGCAGGGTAGGTTATATCTACAGGAGTAATTTTGTCTATAGCACATGGTTAGCGTCTGAGAAAATAGAGGAAGAAGTTAAACCACATCTGACCTTCCCGCATGCCTTATGACCCAGTTCTGTCTCTAAGGCAGCTGGAAGACAGGTCCGATGGCTTTTGGGCACAGTGAGCATCCTGCCCCACCTCCGTGTTATCTCTGCCTTGTTGCCATGTCTCCTGTCACAAGCAGAAGTGAGCACATGGTTCTTTCTGGACAGTTGCCATCAGTTCTGGAGGCTGCAGCATTAGGCTGTTTTTCAGTAGTTTTGTTTGCTTGTTAGTCTGTACATAGTCCTGGCTGCCCTCGAACTCACAGAGATCTGCCTGCCTCTGCTTCCTGAGTGCTGCAATTAAAGGTGTGTGCCACCATGCCCAGCCAGAATAAAGTTTTATATCTAGGGACTTGCTGAAGGATTTCTAGAGCTTTCTCTGAGTTTCTGGTGTTTCTGTCCTCTGTAGCCTATTTTTGTACATGTGCATGCATGAGCCTGATCATTGGTACTGTGTGTACATGAGTCTGTTGTTCCCAGGGTGCTAAGAAGTCGTTTGCTTGTTGGGCATCCTGTTTAGCTTGTGATGACAATGATGTGTGTGATGAACTATGACTTCATCTTCCCGGGGTCAGCTTAGTTCTGGTTCCTGAATGTGAAGAGGAATAGCAGAGGGACTTCCTGGCCATCTAATCTCAGTGAGACAGTGGGTTCCAGGTCCAGCTAGAGACACTACCTCACAAAATAAGATGGAGAACAATAGAGGAAAGTAAATGAGAGTCACTTTTAACTCCACAAGGACATGCACTTACACCTGCACACACATGTATACACCAGACATGCATAGCATTCCAGTACAACAGAAAAGGGGCTTCAAGATTCGTGTGATTTGACTTGTGTTTGAAGTGATGGGAAGTGTTTCTTATCAGTGGAGGAGTTCCTAGGATTGTTAGATATAACCTCAGCTGATGGACATGTTCTCTTCTCTCCCCTTTCCTTTTTGTCTTCTCTTCCCCCCTACTTTCTGGTCTTGGTGCTGAGTACTGAACACAGTGCCTCTAGCGTGCTGGGCAAGAGCTGCTTTGCTGACTGCATCTCCAGCCCTCTTGTGACTCTGGTTTTGGAACTGTCCTGTTGAGTTGCACAGGCTGGGTTTAAACTTGCCCTATAGCCTGGGCAATGAACTTGAAAATTCTCTGCCCCAGGGTCTAGAATAGCTAGGATTTCAGACTACACCACCAGGCCTAGCCTGTTTTAAAGATGTTTTGTTTAAAAGTTATCCCGTGTCAGGTGTGATGGTACAAACCTTTAATCCCAGCACTCCAGAGAGGCACTTGGGACTTTGAGTTCTAGGACAGACACTGCCGTGGTGGTTAAAAGATATCCCAGCATGCCTTACTTTGTGTTGTATCCTGCCGTCCCAAGCAGTTTCTAAAAGCGCAGTGTGGACCTATTCCTAGAGCTCCTCCTTTGCCTGTCAGTGCAGGACAAATACATCACTGTGGTTTAACAGGCTCCCCAGCTGAACCTGAGAGGAGCTGGGCTCCAGGCTTGATGGCATTCCTAATCTTCAGGTGTGAACTGCTTACCAGTGAAGAAGGGAGCTTTTCTCTAACAAGATTGGTATCAACAGCACAGTACAGAGGGAAAACAGCACTTCTGTGGGCTTATCGACCTATCAATTTGACTGTCAGGCCTGGTCATCGGTATATGAGACTGGCCCTTGATGACATCGTGTTACCAGCACAAAGACAGCGGCCGCACAGGGAGCTAGCAAAAATCATGCAGCCCCAACCTTCACCATTTGTCTTTTATGCACAAAACCCACATTCTGGTTGGCACATTTCAGTTAACAAGAATTGAAACTGTAGGAGCTAGAAAGCAAGATTAGTACATTTAGGGACTTTCTTGGCTCCTGGAATTAATATGCTTTAGGTTTTTGATGGCTTAGGTCTTTGCTCCTGTTTTGGTGGGTGTTGGGGCCTGTGTGCTGGATTTTAAGGTCAGAATGGTGCCTCCAGCATGTCGTCAGTTGTACTAAGGTTTGGGAACTTGTTACAAAAGAACTCAGTCTGGATTTTGAAGATCATGTCACCGTCATTGGACAGCACTACAACAAGAACATGTGGTGCTTCTACATCTTCAGGTTATATATTGTGGCTTGTCACTATGAAGGCACCATTACCACTGACAGAGTCTGAGCTCTCTGTAAGATTACTCCGTTACATTGTGCTACTTACTTTCAACATAGGATTTGCTTCTTTGGTATTCGATAGACTTTAAGATTTGCTCCTGTTTCAAAGCTATCTTGCTGTAACTTTCATTTTCTGTTTTTCAGTACATTCTTAAGATGTGACAAAACAAGAATTAAAACTACTGAACTAGGCTGGCTAGATGGCTCAGTTGGTAAAGGTGATTGCGCCAAGCCTGATGACCTGAGTTCTAGTCCCAGGAGCCTATGTGGGGGGAGGGGAGAATAGACTGCCAGTTGTTGTCCACTGACCTTCACATGTGCACCAGGAAATACTTGCACACACAAACATATATGCCCAAAAGAATAAAGTATAAAAAACAAAAAATAATGTTAAGTTTTTTCTCTCCTAGCCCTTCACCACAAGAAGATGGACAGATCATGTTTGATGTTGAGATGCACACCAGCAGGGACCATAGCTCTCAGGTGGGTGTGGGTTTTGTTTTGGTTTGGAAAACACACAAGAGTCTCTAAAGTTTGTTGGCTAAAATAGGGTGCTGGGCTCCAAGCCTGATTGCATTTTAACAATGGAGTGTTTTTCTAACAAGATCGGTGTCTGTAGCCCAGAGTGCAGCTCTGTCTGTGAGCTCATGGACCTTTGACTGTTGGGCCTGGTACCAGTTGTATAAGGCTGCTTCTTGATGCTACAGCAAGCATACAGGCAATAAGTGAAGACGGGAATTCCTTGTTTCTTGAATTTTCTATTGTGTCAACTCTTAGAAAGTTACTGATGATGCCTTATTTGTGGTGTTCCCTCACGGCATAAGCATAGGCTGCCGTGCTGGAGCTGTGTGTCTGGTGCCATGCTTCTACTCTTCTGCCAGAAGACAGCACCGCTTCTCCACACCTCACTACTCTGCCTTTTGCTATTTTCTGAAGCTGGGAAATCCATGCAGTCCACACTGGCTCACTTAAGCTCACTTTAGCTGCTCACATGCTGAGACTTGCAATACTAGTTTACTCTGTGTGATGCACTTTGTTGTCTAAAGAAGCTTGGTGATAAATGGCTGAAATGTTTAAATTCTGGCTTGTGTGTGTGAGTTTGGCCATATGCAGGATGCTGTAACTGGTTTGAAAAAGGCACATGAAGTTCATGGCAAGTAGGTATCCCCTGGACAGAAGAGAGGAGGGAATTGATACTCTGTTGTAGGGGGTCTTTGGTCTGATTGATTTTATTTAGACATTTTCCAAAGAGTGTCTTCAAGAGTACTACTCAGTTGGGAAGCTCTATGAACTTATTCTTTTTTGTTTGTTTTTGTTTTTCGAGACAGGGATTCTCTGTGGCTTTGGAGCCTGTCCTGGAACTAGCTCTTGTAGACCAGGCTGGCCTCGAACTCCCAGAGATCCGCCCGCCTCTGCCTCCCGAGTGCTGGGATTAAAGGCGTGCGCCACCACCGCCTGGCTCTCTATGAACTTATTCTGAAGTCAGATAAGTGGCGCCTTGCATCCTTGCTCCATGAGTTGCTGTTTCAGGCTGTGCGGAGTCCAAAGAAAGACACCAGCTGGAGCCAAGTCTTTCCTGAGTTCATTTTCCTTCAGAGCTCCGTTTTCCCCCACCCCCCATGGGTATTTCTCCTCCTAGCTCAGTGAAAGCTAGGTGTGCAGCCCTGACTCAAGAAAATGAGTGTGATCAGGCCCATGAGGTCACTGAATTTAACTGCAGTCTTAGGACTGAATGCAGCCATTATAAAACTGGAAAGAAATCTGCGAGAGAGAGCGAGCTTGTGAGATTCTGATAGTCTGAGGTTGATTTTAAGCAGGGGATAAGCCATGTTATTATTAGACTGACCAGTGGGGACAAGCATGGGTTTTTGCAAGTAGTTGGATGCCTATAAAGACAAAGTTGGGTCTGTGGGGTAAAAATTTTAAAATAAAGGAGATATATTAGTAGATGCTTTATATTGTATATAAAGCATTTATATTTTTAAGACTGAAGAAGTAATTGAAAAGCTAGTCACTAGGGTTTAGGAAAATGAGTTTCATGAATGAGAAAGTTTTTTGTTAGAAAGTTAAGAAGAACTGGCTGAGGCTGTCCATTTTCTTTATGTGTGTCTGTGAGGTGATAAATGAGATGTCATGATCCAGCTTTACCCAGAGAAGTTAGGAAAGACACCAGAACTTACTAATATGTTCTGATGCTAATAAGTTTCTCAGTCCAGCGGAGGGACAGGGTAATGTTACTCTGCTGGGGAGATGGGGAGACAGACACTTTGTCCTCATGTGGTTATCACCTATGATGACTAAGCAAGTCAGTGTTAGAGCCATGACTGAAAGCAAACCTGAGCCTGTGGTCCAGTCCTTCACTGAAGCTGACCTCTGAGGGGAGTCAGTCCCTAGTCAGGAGACTAGGCATGTGAATGAGCTGACGGGTCTGCAGAGCCCCAGTGTGGCGATTCCTAAGCAGGCTCACCAGTGCAGTGTCCCTCTTCCTTAAAGGTGATGGGACCCATGCGACTCCACTGTGTAGCAAGAAATAGACTCATTCTCATGCAGACTTATAGTCCATGAAGGCATTGTTTTTTAGGATGGGCCCAGCATGGAGTTGCTGTGTTTGGAAATAGCCTCCTTTCTGTCTTGTGAGGCTGGTTTATCTGTACATGGATACAGGCATGCAGTTTAATACCCCTATTTAGAGACCTAAAGAGAACTGGAGGTGGGCCAGATAATGAAGAATTAAATGGTAATAAAATAAAGACCCACCCACTGTCACGGCCACCCTCGACCCGCAAGGAATGACGCGACCACCGGAGCTCTTCTTGCTGCAGTTTATTCCAGGACTTTATTCACTTTCTCTCTCCCCTCTCTCTCTCTCTCTCTCTCTCTCTCTCTTTGACCTCTCCTTTTTCCTCTCTCCTTGGGCAAACCCTCTCCCAGCCCTTAAGTAGGCATGGGCTGCCAATCCCGGATTGCCAGGTGGGCAGTGCCCATAGGGTCACGCATATGCAGGCAGCTGATAATCATTGCGTGATCATAGCATAGGTCAGGCCTTAGCCATCTCAGGAGTTGATTATACATCTCCATCAGGTGTGATTCCATGCAGCTCGCTGCAACCCACCCCACCTCCCAGGACTGTTTGAGGTGGTTGAGGGAAGAACAGAGTTGTACATGGTTAGATGAGGCGCCCTTTTGCCATATTTTTTTAATTATAGGAAGATGATTCAAAACCTCAAAATGGGCCAAACATGATGTGTTCAGATCTTTATTGTAGTTTCTGAATTCAGGAGGCTGAGAATTGTAAGATCTGAAGGCCAGCCAAGGCTATAAAGAAGCCTGAGGCCAACATGGAGTGTTTGGTGAGGCTGCTAACCATCTCTCTCCCAAAACCCTGGGATTGGCAAGTTTAAGATTAATAAAGAAAATGAACTATAGTAAACATTAAAGTAAGTTGAGAAATATATTTGTGGATTAAAACAACTGTATGAATCCAAAGGTAACTTTGCTTTAGTCCTCTGGAGAAAATTCCATTATCTTGAAAAATTCAGAGCACAAATCTCACATTGTTTTCTCTGAAAAGGATAAAGTATGAACTTGTTCAAAAAAATCTGAACTAAACCAGAAGCACTTAGAATCCTAGGAGGCCCAAGGAGGAACTAAGCAGAACATACTGTTATAAGACTGGCGTGCAGTTACTGAGGCAGAGTCTTTCTAGCATGTCAGAGGCCCTAGGCTTAAGTCTCCACATTGCTGAAACCAAACCAAAAGAATCAGAGGGCCATCAAGGTGGCCTAACCACCTCAGTTGCAACCCCACATTGGAGCCCTGGCACCCCATGGTGGAAGGAGAAAAACAGCTTCTACACAGGCACCACCCCTCATAATAAATACAGATACAGAGTTAACATCCAAGGAATGACTGTAGCAGGCTGAAGACTCAGAAACGCTGCTGCTCAGCGCTTGCCCTGTGTCTGCTGATTCGTTTCTGCCTGAGATGACTTCAGGGTTACTCCAGAGAGCCAGCTCATGATTCTGAGTAATCTCAGTGCCTGCTGGAAAGAGCTCAGTCCTAAATGCAGCATTGTGCTATTCGGTGGAATTTGCCAACTTCAGCAGAACTAGATAAGGGCCATGCTGACAAAGGGACACAAACATCCCCTGAGCTTTGACCTGGATTTGGTAGTAAACGGGTGTTATGTGTAGAGCCAGGCTTAAGCTCCCTTCCCAGACAGCTGAGTCACTAGGAGGTGGAGCTGTGGAAAGTATCCGTGAGTGGGCCAGGTGTTTGACCTGTTGGTCAGAATCAGAGTGTTCAGTAGTGTGACTCCACTGTGGAGTCACAGCCTTACAGTCTCAAGACTGAATAAATACAGCTAATGTGTCATTTTTAGGAATTTCTCACCCCTTTAGTTTCTCTTAAAAGAGAGTTTGCCGGGCTTGAGTGTAGAACCCCAGCACTTGGGAGGTCAAAGGCCAGCCTGGGCTACATAGTGAATTACAGGTCAGCCTAGGCTACAGAATAAGACACTGTCTTAAAGAACCAAAAACAAGAAAAAGCTTGTGGAAATACAATTTTTTCTAGCCTGACATCTCAGGTTTTCACTAGCAATAGAAAGAATATTTTTCATTTATTAGATGTTAACTTCTGACTCACTTCAAAATAGATTATTCCCCCCAATAAAAAATTAGTTTTAGAATCTTGAGAAACATTCATTAATTCCTCTTTAAAAGCAATCTCCTTTCAGAAAGTGAGAAACATGGTTCTATGAGTGGGACCTTTGGGGCAGCTTACCTGGGCTGGAAACCAGTGGCCTCTACCTTCAGCTGTGAGGCCCTCAGCAAGTCACATAAACCCTGCCCTCTTCAGTAGAATGGAGTGCAGCAGTTTCTGTTTGGGGATTGACCAAGGTCAAGATCAGGGCATGTGAGCAGCTTGAGTAGATGCTGCTCTTGCAGGTGTTTGGCAGCATCATGATTTACCACATCTCTGCCAACTTTTTTATCGACTTATTTCCATGTCTTTTTTGGTGTGTTTTCTTTATTTTTTTCTAGTTCTAAAAAATTAAATGCAATTGAAACTATGTACAGTGTGGGAAATATAATGTTGAGAGGGACGTAGTGAAACCCCACTGTGCATCCTCAGGTTCAGCAGCAGCAACTCCATGGCTTCCTCACATCTCTGAAGGGGGCTTTTGCAGGGCACAGCCTGTCCTTCAGTGCGGCCTCCATCGTGCTCACTTCTCATCCTGGGATGCTCTTAGGGCAGTTTTGAGCCCATTCCGAAAATAGGCTGCTTCCTAAATAAAGACGCATGACTTTAGTTTGTTTTGTATTTAAAAGAATTGTTTATCCTTTCCTGCTTTTCTCTTGTTCCTCCCTTCTCATTGTTTGAATTCTTTTTAGTCAGAAGAAGAAGTTGTAGAAGGAGAGAAAGAAGTTGAGGCTTTGAAGAAAAGTGCAGACTGGGTATCAGACTGGTCCAGTAGACCCGAAAACATCCCACCCAAGTAAGTCCTGCTTTGTCTTGGCGGTGGGTTTTATGTGCCTGTCTGTGGGACTGTGTAGTCCCCAGGACACGTGCAGCACTTGTGTCCTGAAACCAGCCTGTCTTCTTCCCCAGAGAGTTCCATTTCAGACACCCTAAACGTGCTGTCTCTCTAAGCATGAGGAAGAGTGGAGCCATGAAGAAAGGGGGCATTTTCTCTGCAGAGTTCCTGAAGGTCTTCATCCCGTCTCTCTTTCTTTCTCATGTGTTGGCTTTGGGGCTGGGGTAAGTACCCTGTTGACAGTGCATTACTTAATGGTGGTGGGTGGCAAGGTGTTGAGGAGAAAAGAGCCGTCTGCCCTGCGTCCTTCCTTGGGCACTACTGCCCAGGATTACTTTTCTGAGTTATTTAAAATTTAGCTAATTGTAATTTGTTATTAAATACAAATGTAGGAATAAATGCAAAATGGTTTCCCCCCCAGATGGTAAAACACACTATTGTGGAGGATGATTCTTGAATATGCTGGTAGGCTACTGTAGGTACTGTCCTTTTTTTTTTTTTTTTTAACTTTGTGGCATTTATATTCTAAAGTCAGCCTCATGTTTACTTAATTCATTAACTTGTGGCATGTCTTTTCAATTAATGGCTTTTCTCCCTTGATTTGAGTATTTAAGAAAATATACTTCTGAAAGATTTCAGTTTATAAGCATTAGCTTACCTGCTGCATGCACTCTGAGCATGCCCAGTGAGTCGTTTTCTGTGTCTGGTGCATGGAAAGTGGATCATTCCTGATCTTGCTGTGAGTGGCTCAGCATAGCAGAGGGAAGTGCCTGCTCTGGAGCATGGGCGTGTGGGCATCTTTTCCTGTCTCCTTGGTAGAGGATCTGCTGGTAAAGACGGGACAGTGGAGTGAAAGGCACTGTGGAGCTTGGGAGGACTCTTACTATCTGCCACCTGTTCACTTCATCTACCTTAGAAAGCTTGGTTTGGGGGCCTCGCAGTGTTTCTTGCTTTCATGTATCTTTAAACTGTTTTTGTTGCTTTAAGTTTAACTCTTGCTACAGGTGAATGTTTTTAAGGGGCTTAAAAATTGCTACTACTAATTGAGGATTTTGCTGCTTGTTACCCTTGGCACTCTGCTTTTGCTGTGAAAGGGGTCATTTTCTTGCTTGGTGTTGGAAAGTCATGTTAGATCCCATCTTAAAAACACTGTCTATGACCTTCTCTCTCAATCTGAACTAGCAATAGAACCTTTTATCCAAATAGAAACATGTGGGGGCTGGAGAAGACTGCTTTGGGCTTTGAAAGGGCTTCTTTTTCCTAGCTTTACCTGGTCTTGACATCACTGCCCTTGTGATTCCAATCCTGACTTAATGAGTAGACAGAATCCTATGAAATCATCTGGACTGAGCTAGTCAGTGGGCTGTAGCTCAGTGGGAGAATGCTTGTTTAACAGATAGAAGGGAGAAAAGAGTGGTGGCTCAGGGAGTCTGGGAAGAGTGCGCTGAGGCTCTCAGATGCTTACCAACTAGAGATCACCCTATGGACCAGGCTGGTGTAATTGTGGAGATAGATGGAACATGATACACTCTGCTTCCTTTCAGCATCTATATTGGAAAACGACTGAGCACACCTTCTGCCAGCACCTACTGAGGGAAACGAAAAGCACCTGGAAATGCGCGTGGCCTGTGAAGTGGTGTATTGTAGTTTGAATTTGAGACCTATTGTAAGCATGATCCCCAACCTACAACCCTATTTTTACATACCCAATCCCAGTAACTCTCAAATCCAGTATTTTACTCAAACTCTATTGAGGCATTTTACTAACCTTCTTCCCTTTTTGGCCTGTAAGACACTTTAGAGATTCCTAACAGAATTTCCTGTCGTTTAGAAATTTGCAAGGGCTTTTTTCAGCAATGCCACCAGCAGATTATAACCTTGTCAACAATACCATCATTTCCTCTTAGTACCACCAGAATCACACCTACATCATTCATGCTAGAAGCTGAATTCTAGCCATGCAACTACATCTCTTTCTAAATGAGGTCAGGTTTGCAAACAGTACTATAAAAGCTTTGTTTAGTTTTTGTTTTCCAGAACAAAAATAAGCTTCCCTAAGCTTGAATTTATAGTTATTAAAAACAAAAGAAAACCAAACCAAAAAAAAAAAAAAAAGCAAGACATAAGGAAAAATATATCCTGGGCAATAAAAATTACTTTAAACCAGCTGTGGAGCCGCTCTTTTCCTAAGCCTCCTGTTCCGCCTTCAGTTCGTAGGAGGCAGCCTGTATGAGTGACAGATAGGATATAGAAGAATAGAACATGCTGGCAGATTTTAACATTAGGATGTTGCAATGCTCTCTTTTCTATGATAGAAAATCTTTATTTCTAAGGAATGCCTCAGATCTAGACATACACAAAATTGTTTTTGAGATTTTTGTGCGTTTGGTATTTTCATGTGTTACCTGCATGTGAATTTCTCATGACTTTCTTTACTTGTCTTTCTAGTTTCTTTCTTTTTTTTTTTTTCTCAGAAGAGACTTGGAACGAGTCTGATTCATGGTGTTAATAGAGGCTTCTTGTTTTAGGAAGCTTTGCTTACACCCTGGAGCCTTTACACTCTGAAGAGTAACTTCAGAGTTATTTCAAACACTTGTGTAACTTCACACAGCAGATCTGGGGTGTGGAAACAGTTGACAAAGTTCTGGAAAGATGCCATTCATTCTCTGTGGTCCCTTACTTCCTGTTGTTGGCTATGGTCTTCCCAGTGTGTCCCTAGGATCTCCCAGGCCCTGGTGACTTTCTCATGCAGTTGTCTTTTCAGTTCTGTCAAACTCCTGATGATCCGCAATACTCAGAAAAGCCTTTGAATGGCAGACATTGTTTGTCTGTTTCTACAATGTGAAGCTTTAGGACCAAACTGTTAGACGGCATCAGGATTGCAGATTATCTCAAGTAGATTCTGTTGGATTTCAGAACATAGCATAACTCTGAAGGATTCTATGTTTTATATATAATTACTGTTTATGATATAGACTGTGCTATAGTTGCAGAACCATTGTGAATTTCAAAGCTAGCAACCTACATGGTGTACCAAGTTGACTTGAATAAATATGGCAACCGGGTTTGCTAGTCTGCAGAAACTAACTCCTCTCTCACATAAAGGGTTATAAAATTGGTGTTACATGGAAATGGAAAGTAACACAGATAGGAAGACATTTCTATCATTTTTCAAGAACATAGCTGTTTATCTTTAAGAAAGATAATATATCCAAAGTAGTTTTTGTGAGTTATTTTCTTTCTGGCATTTAATGTCTAAATGATTATGGGCGTCTTTTGCCCTTTTCCTATCTTGCTCTTAAACCTGGTGACGCTTGATTTACCTTATCGCTTATTTATTTCAAGTGTTTGTATTTGAATTTCGTTAGGAAGAAAGTAAATCTGATGGCCTATTTGTTTGTTTGTTTTTGAAAAGCCTGAATCAAATTGGCCAGACTACTGAGGCTAAACTGTAGCACAGTTGAGTGCTCCTGTGTGAACGAGCAGCAGAGTCGTTCACTAAGTGATCTCCCAGGCAGACACCTCCTTGATAAATTCAGGAGCAGCCTGTCAGCAGTGCCATTGAACTGGGATGTATGATTTTATTTCAACATTAAAAGTAAATTTAATTTCGCCATTTTTGAAAGTATCAGTAAGATCATGGAACATGTCACAGCACAACTGTCCATCAGGGAGCTTGTAAGGTGTTGATTTGCAGCCCTGACATACGGGATGTTTATGCTCCTACACAGATTCTTGTTGAATGAAAACAGATTGTCCTATTGCAAAGCAGAATTCAACCACGAGTTGAAATTTAAGATAATGTTTAAAAAGCTTTATTCCTGTTTACAATTTGGAATGAGAAGCAAGCTTCGTTTTAAGTTTGAAAACTGGCTCAGATGTTTGTAAGTCAAGAGGAAAGCGGCACAGAGAACAGTACGGCAGTCACTCGATTACAGTAGAGAGTGAAGTGGGGACTCGGCCATGAGACGAACCGCACAGTGAACCAGTTGGTGGAGCTCCTGGCATTAACTGAGCCAGAGTGATACACATCCCTCGTCTGTCTCGTCAGCACTTGCGTCATTCCTTACAGTTTACAGAACACGTGTAACTTGTAGCTATAAACATTTTGTGCCATTAAAGCTCTCACAAAAACTGCCTGTTGGAATATCACTTTGACGTCACTCTTGTTGCCTGAAATTCCCTTCTATTTCTGCATGAAGCCCTTCCCATGGAGAACTTACTAGGACCAGAGTCTCTGACTGGGTAAGAAGTGGTGCTGTTGAAGCCTTCCTGTTGGGAAGTTTGCATTCGAGTGGTAGCAAGCCAAAGGGTAGTGGGTGATCATTTGGGTTTTGTAATATGATTAGGGCTGACCCAACATTACACATGGGACTATGGAACCAGAGATCTAGCTCACTGTAAGGGAGTTTGCTTGTTCTGTTAAGTCCTGGATTCAACCACAGCACCCCCTCACCCCCACATAAGCATGGGACTGTGGTTAGAATTTGAATCTGAAATGTGGTGGAGTTGCACAAAATTCAGTGTTCAGTGCAGGGTAAAGAATCGGATTTTGTTGGTCAGCGTCCCTCCAAGTTACCTGCACTGCCTTCCAAGAGAAACTGCCTGCTGGGGACGCCCCTCCTGAGCATGGCAGCAGCTGCTAATTAGTTAGAGGGTGGGTGGTTTCACAGCTGAAGGAAGCAGGGCCGGGCAGGCTAATTAAGTCACCATCACTAGTGACAGGACGGAGGGGAGGTTCTGACTTCATGGCAGACAGGAAGGGACTGGAACGATGCTCCGAAGGCAGTCTCCAGGGATCCGCTCCATCAGCTCAAGCTGCTCCACTCAAAGAGCAGTGCTGCCAGCTGGGGACCACACACTCACCCCATAAGCCCTGCGGGGCCACTTTGTATTCAGACTGTCGAGCTCCTGTCACATCAGTTGAGATGCTGCCTGGAAGCAGAAGCAGTTTGCAGGTACCAGCCTCTCAAGAGCAAGTAGTGTCAGTTGTCCTAGGCAGTTCTGAAGTATCATTCGTATTTAGGAGACTCACTCAACAGAACGTGACTCCAGTACGGTCTATAAAGTACACATCAGAGCCCTGGTGGCTTTGGGATCACATGGCAGTGCCCGTGTTGGCTACCAACACCAACCCTGGGAAGCAGGGCAGCTTTCCCTGCTACTGCTCAGACTCCTGCTGTAAATCCTGCCCCTGGAGACCTCTGGCTACCAGGCTCCACCCCTAGACGGCTATGGTGGCCAGGCCTGACCCCTTGAGGTGGGTGAGCAGCCAGGCCCTGCTCTGAAGAGCTCCAGTGGCCAAGCCCTGTACCCCTGACTTCTCTAATGGTAGTTCTTATCTCCCCTTGCCCCCAAAGTGGAAGAGTGATCAGGCCCTGTCCTACAGAAAAGAAAAAAAATCTCACCAATCCCTGGACTTTCCCCAAGATCAGGCCACATAATTTCTCCAATTGCGGACCACCCTGGAAAGAACTCCCTTGTGCCCCCCAGAGCCCTGTATAAACCCTGTCTTTTGTTCTGCCACTTCTTGCCCAAGTAGACCCAGCCAAACCTGGGTTTTTCCCTCCCGATAAATCTCTTAATGCGGTTTGTTGTGTGGTGTGACTTTGTGGGGTACCTTTCCCATTAGAGCTGTAGTGCTTACACTGCCGATATGACTTGGATAGACTCTCCTGGTGTTTGTGCTCCCCCTCGGGGTCTGAGCTGCTCTGGGACCCTATCCCTCATCTCCAGATCACTGCGACAGACTGGCTCCCCCACCAGTCATTCGGCATTTCATCCACCAGGGGCAATTAGGTAAGTTTCTGCCTTTGCTCTGTGTGAACGATTCTTTAGTTCAGGTAAGTGACCCTGTACCACCTCTGGTACGGCCCACCTCTGGTACTCTTGGAGGTGGAAGCACCCCAGCTGGTTTTTAAGGCTTCCGCTGAACCTCTTCACCTGACCCCACCCCATCCTTGGAGCTGCAATCCTACAGTTTCCTTAGGCCTACTTGAGCTATTTATTGCCCTCCTTCCTGCCCTCTTCTGCCTTCCCTTCAGAACTGCCATAATCTCTCAGCTCCTCTAGGTTCTTGTGGCTTTTGGGACTCCATTCCCCAGCCCTTTGCCCCCTAGCTCGGTTTTTATTGTGGCCTCTGCCCTCTAGCAAGCCCTGGTGCCAGGTGCTGAGTCTCCCCTCTGGCTTAGCCAGGCTCAGCCCCTGACCCCTGTTGAGTGTGGTGGTGACCCACAAACAACTTGGTTCTCGTTGGGTCCTTCCTGAGTCCCGGGGAGACCTTTGACTACAGGCTGCAGTGACATTTTTCTTCCCTCTCATCTAGGGGAACGGTGTCGTCTGCACCTTCCCATTTCCCCTTGGGATGCCTTTAGAAAACTTTCAGCTCCCCCCCTCCCCCCCACCTAGCACCCGACCTGAAGGGTCTTAAATTTATTTACCTTTCCAATCAAATTTAGCCTCAGTACACCTTAGGTAATCAATCCAAATGGCCACTTAATGGCATACTAGATCCTAATATTATTTGGGACCTTTATAAGTACTGTGAACGATTGGAGAAATGGAAAGATTCCCCATTGCTTCCATTCCAGCTTTCTCTTATCCCTGCTCCAAGCCCCCTCTCTCTGTTCTTCCTGTTCCCCCACCTAACTTTCTAGTTAGGACATCCAAACTACTACTTCCAATCCAGCTAGAGAGCCTCCCCGCTATTGGCTTTAACCCACAGCTCTTTCTCCTCTAGCCCCTCCAGTCTCCGGTTCTCCCTATTCAGTGATAGGCCACCCTAGTCAAATCTCCCAAACTCCAGCCCACTGGCAGCCCTTAGTCCTCCCACTGCTCCTTCCCGCTCCACCGTAGGACCTCCTCTCTACCTACCTCCTCCTACGTGGCCTAATCCAGCCCAAGTTCTTTCTCTGTGGGAGATTATTGGGGTGGATGAATTGGTCAGGGTACATATCCCTTTCTTACTAAATGATCTCTCTCAGATGACTTTGATTAGTGAGTTTCAGACTGTCTCCCAATCTTACACTCTCACCTTCCGTGACATTTCCACGATTCTCAACAGTAACCTCCCTGAGAAGTGCCAGCGAGTCTGGGACCAGGCTAGGGCGCGTGCAGATGAAATTCACCAAACCAATGCTGTCCTCCCAGTTCGGGCCAAGGAGGTCCTGAATGGAATGACAATATTGCTGAAGGCATTCTAGCTAGAACCCAACTTATAATTTGCCTCCTGGACAGTCTCCACAAGGCTGCCCTTAAAGTGCTAATTATGAAAAAGTCCAAGAGATCATCTAGGACAAACGTGAACAACCGACTCAATTCCTAGATTGCCTTATGAAGGGCCTCTTAAAATATGCCAGTCTGGATCCTAAGACCCCAGATGGAAGAACTTCTCATGACCTGCTACTTCTCCCAAAGTTTCCCTGGTAGAGGGTCAAACATAAATGTCTAAAGAAAGGACCCCTCACTCCACAGGTAGAAGTCTTAGCCGTAGTCTTTGAAGTGTACAATGGGGAGAGATTAAAAAGCCCTAAAGCAAAAATGTCTGATGTTAGCGAGGGCCTTTAGACTGCCATAGCAGCTGCCCAGGCTTCCTTGTCTTCCAAAACCCAAGAGCCTCTGGGTCCCTGTTTCGAATGGAGTCAGAGGGGGGTCCCTGGCCCTGGGCCTATCCAAACCTCTGTAAATCACCTGAACCATGTCCAACGTGCCACCAAGAAGGTATTGGGGTGTTGACTGCCTCTGCGTCCCTTGTGGTATGAAGATATCAAGCCCTGATTGTCCTTCAGCCGACTTCCTTGGTCTGGCCACGGACAACAGGTGCCTGGGTTCTCTTGACCCAATCACAGCCGTCTGACAGGAAGCTTCAGGGGAATCTATCCCCTTCCTTCTGGACACTGGGACCACCTGCTCGTCCTGACAGAGTTTTAGGGATGCACCTCTTCTTGTTCCCCTATTGTTGGGTAGGGGGACAGCCTTACCAACCACACTAAACCCTACCACTTACTTGTATCTTTAGGGATATCTTACCTACTCCTTCCTTCCTAGTAGTACCAGCCTGTCCTGACCCTTTGCTGGGAAGGGACCTCTTAGCCAAAGTGGGAGCCTCTATTTCTTTCACTCCCCGTTCCACTTGACCTCAGGCTTGCTGACCCTTCCCCTCCTTTTCCTCCAAGTCACACAACCCAACATACCTTTTCCTTTGCTGGTCTTCCAGGTGCACCCCTGAGTATGAGGTACCCAACTCCTCCCCACCCCCAACACCAATAGACACAAAGTCCTCATCATCTAACTACAAAATCTTTTCACTCCCATCCAGTACAAAAGCAGACACCACCCACCCACCTGGTCCTAGTTGTTTGGAAAGTTTTGTTTTGCTGTGTGTGCAAATGGTTCTGTGTTTTCTAGTGTATCTGTAAGTCTTGCAGCAAACATGGTAGCAGAGATGGAAATGGGTCACACTCAGCTGAATGTATGCGTGATGGTGGCCACTGAATGTTTTGTTTCTGACTGGTCTCCTTTGAGTGTGTGGGCTTTCTATATTCCGTATTTGTTGGTTTTGTTTTTGCTTTTTCTGATGCTGCTAGCTGCCAGCCTCCACTGCTAATGCTACTTGCTATGGCTGCTTTGAGCTTCAGGGCTCAGAATTTATCTCTGGGCTTTCTGGTCACTGGATTTAGTTTAGCAGGGATTCAAATGTCTTTTTTGAGTATAGGCAATATTAAAACTGTTCTGCTTTGTTGAAAAGTTAATTCTGGAGTTGGGGTATGACTCCCTTTCCTCTAGACCCAAGCAAGTTTGTTTAAAGGTTTCCTGCAAGATCTCTGTCTCATGCCAGGTGAGCCACCTGACTCTGGCAGAGAGAGCAAAACAAAAGAAAAAAAGGGGGGTGGAGTTTAACAGGAACTTGATTTACAGTGATTGTTCTCAGTACTAACTACTCATCTCTCAGGTAAATGGTTGGATGGAGAATGTAAAAACTTAAGTCAACTATGAGGGTCTAAGAGTGATATGAAGGTCTGGGACAGGGTTTTTTTTTCTGTAGCTTTGGAGCTTGTCCTAGAACTAGCTCTCGTAGACCAGGCTGGCCTCAAACTCACAGAGATCCGCCTGCCTCTGCCTCCTGAGTGTGGGATT